TGAAAGCCGGAAGTCCAAGGTTAAGGAGTCCAATCTAGCAAGAGTCTTTCGCTGCATCATCCATGCAGAAGAATAGGAGGGCGCGCTCACACCTGAGAGAGAGGGGGTGGGGGTGGGGAAGGGGTTGAGCTTAGCTTTTTATCAGGAACCTGCCACAATGTCGCAACAATAAAACCAATCCTGAGACAGCAGTGTGACTCCATTTATGAGGGGCAGAGTCCTCATGATCTTACCACCTTTGTAAAGGTCCTACCTCTCAACACTGTTGCATCGGGAACTAAGCTACCAACACATGAACTTGGGGGCACACATTCAAACCATAACACATTAACAATCATTAATTGCCTTATCACAAGGATGCCAAGACAGTTCAGCTGGGAGAAAGAAGAGTCTTTTCAACAGATGATACTGGAACAACTGGATAGCCACGTGCAGAGAGTGACACTGAACCCCTACTTCATTCCATAAGCAAAACATTAATGCCAAATCCATCAAAGACCTAAATACAGGAGCTAAAACCATACAACTCTTAGAGGAGAGTGTAGGTGTAAGTCTTCAATACCTTGAAATTAGGCAGAGACTTCTTAGAGATGACGCCTAAAGCACAAGCATCAAAAGAAAAAATAGATAAACTGAACTTCATCAAAATTTAAAACTTTGGCCGGGCGCGGTGGCTCAAGCCTGTAATCCCAGCACTTTGGGAGGCCGAGACGGGCGGATCACGAGGTCAGGAGATCGAGACCATCCTGGCTAACACGGTGAAACCCCGTCTCTACTAAAAAATACAAAAAACTAGCCGGGCGAGGTGGCGGGCACCTGTAGTCCCAGCTACTCAGGAGGCTGAGGCAGGAGAATGGCGTAAACCCGGGAGGCGGAGCTTGCAGTGAGCTGAGATCCGGCCACTGCACTCCAGCCTGGGCGGCAGAGCGAGACTCCGTCTCAAAAAAAAAAAAAAAAAAAAAAAATTTAAAACTTTGTGCTTCAAAGAACACTATCAAGAAGTGAAAACCCACAGAATGGGGAAAAGTATTTGTAAATCAAATACTGGTAAGGGTCTAGGATCCAGAATATATAAATAACTCTTACAACGCAACCATAAAAAGATGACCCAATTTTTTTTTCTTTTTTTTTTTGGAGACATGTCTGACTCTGTTGCCCAGGCTGGAGTGCAGTGGCGTGATCTCGGCTCACTGCAAGCCCCGCCTCCTGGGTTCATGCCATTCTCCTGCCTCAGCCTCCTGAGTAGCTGGGACTACAGGTGCCCGCCACCATGCCCAGCTAATTTTTTTTTGTATTTTTAGTAGAGGCGGGGTTTCACCGTGTTAGCCAGGATGGTCTCGATCTCCTGACCTCATGATCTGCCCACCTTGGCCTCCCAAAGTGCTGGGATTACAGGCGTCGGCCACCGCGCCCGGCCCAGTTTTTTAAAATAAGAAAGTAAATGTAATTTTCAACACAGAAAAACAAGCATATTTCTGCCAAATGCACCCTCCCTTCCCTCTCCACCAGTGGTCTTTCCCATCAGAATTTCCTCTGCCTAAAATTTTAAAAAGCAAGGCACTGAGTCATTTGGTATATTTGCCCTGGTAACTACTTATTCTGAAAAACAATGAATGTTCCTTAATGTAAAGCCCCAGAAGTCTCAGTTCTGCATCAGGCTGGTAGTTCTATACCTCACCTTGCCATACTTCAGGTCACCTTAGCTTACCTCCCTCTCTCTCGTGGATATTAGAAGCACTGCTTTTCCTTTGTGTGGGAATAAATAACTATTAATATAAAACTTTTCTATGATATTGAAAATGGGAACACTATTTGGTGTTAATCATTAAATGGTCTTAATGGAATCAACCTGCTATTTAGTTTCAGAAAAATTGAGACCTTTGGAGGGGAAATAAGACTGTTAAAATATTGTCTTTGTCTTCAGAGAACATTTTATCTTGTTTTCTGCTGTGTCCAGTGCCTGGAACAATGCAGATTTGTGGGGCAAATGAGTGAATGAACAAACTTCTTTTCTTTCTTTTTTCTTTGCTTTTTTTTTTTTTTTTTGAGACAGAGTCTTACTCTGTCATGAGGCTGGAGTGCGGTGGCACGATCTTGGCTCACTGCAAACCTTTGCCTCTTGGGTTCAAGTGATACTCCTGCCTCAGCCTCCTGAGTAGCTGGGACTTACAGGCATGTGCCATCATGCCCAGCTAATTTTTTTTTTTTTTTGTATTCTTAGTAGAGATGGGATTTCCCCACGTTGACCAGGATGGTCTCGATCTCTTGACCTCGTGATCTGCCAGCCTCAGTCTCCCAAAGTACTGGGATTACAGGCGTGAGCCACAGTGCCTGGCCCAAACTTCTTTTCTTAAATAGGAAAATGAACGGACCCATCTTATTCTTATGACAGCCTTGCTGCATAGAAAGAAAGGACTGGAGAGTCCAGCAGGGTGTGTGTGTTCAGTCTCGGCTCTCCCCTTGGTGATGTGGGCACACTGGAAAGGGACTTTCCAAGTCTCTCCTCATCCATCAGTGGGTTGTTGTGGGGCTAAATGAGACGATCTGTGTGTGTGTGTGTATATATTTTTTGAGATGGAGTTTCATTCTTGTTGCCCAGGCTGGAGTGCAGTGGCGTGATCTTGGCTCACTGCAACCTCTGCCTCCTGGGTTCAAGTGATTCCCCTGCCTCAGCCTCCTGAGTAGCTGAGATTACAGGCGCCTGCCACCACACCCAGCTAATTTTTGTATTTTTAGTAGAGACAGCGTTCATCATGTCGGTCAGGCTGGTCTCGAACTCCTGACCTCAGGTGATCCACCCTCCTCGGCCTCCCAAAGTAGTGGGATTACAGGCATGAGCCACCACGCCCGCCCGAGACCATAGATATTTAAATGCCTCAAATGTATCAGATAGTTTAAATGGCAGCTACTAATCATGATTAATTGTGATAACATTGTTGATTTTTTTAAACGTGAGTTTTCTCATTGTTTACTATCTTTCAACTTATGTTAGGAAATAACTGATTTATAAACACATATTTCCTCTGGTCGCTTGGCCCTATCACAGTCAGAAGTCAGTCTAGAATGCATTTCTTGTTTCGGTTACAAGCACACAATTGAGCATGACGTGGGTATTTTTTCACTGAATCTGGACAGTGGTTTTGTCATGTGTTTCCTTTTTCCAGAATTCTCTGGATGAGGGTTAAAGAGAGTGGGGCCTGGGCACGTGGAACACTGTGAGTGGGAATGTAGAGTGGTGGAGCTGTTTTGGAAGGCAGTTTCACAATAAATATGAACGTTTAAAATGCTTGCATCTTTTTGAGCTGGTAATTCTGTTTTTAGGAATCTATCCTATAGAAAAATACACGTGTATAGAGACATTCATGGTGGTGCTGTTTGTGTGGGAAAATTGGCAACTAGGATGTAACTGGGGACAGATAAACTCATACACCGGAAGACTGTGCAGTCACTCAAGAAAATGGGGTAGCTCTGTAAATGTCAGCACATACTTTAAACCCTGGACCCAGGTTGGGCACGGTGGCACATGCCTGTAATCCTAGCACTTTTGTAGGCCGAGGTGGGCAGATCGATTAAGCTCAGGAGTTCGAGACCAGCCTAGGCCACATGGCTGTCCAAAAAATACAAACATTAGCCAGGTACAGCTGGGCACAGTGGCTCACACCTGTAATCCCAGCACTTTGGAAGGCTAAGGCCTTCCGAAGGAGCACTTGAGATCAGCAGTTCAAAATTAACCAGGCGTGGTGGCGGGCACCTGTAATCCCAGCTGCTCAGGAGGCTGAGGCAGGAGAATCGCTTGAACCCGGGAGGCGGAGCTTGCAGTGAGCCAAGATTGTGCCACTGCACTCCAGCCTGGGCCACAGAACAAGACTCCATCTCAAAAAAATTAGCCATGCCGGGCGCGGTGGCTCAAGCCTGTAATCCCAGCACTTTGGGAGGCTGAGACGGGCGGATCATGAGGTCAGGAGATCGAGACCATCCTGGCTAACACGGTGAAACCCCGTCTCTACTAAAAAATACAAAAAAAAAAAAAAAAAAAAAAAAAAACTAGCCGGGCGAGGTGGCGGGTGCCTGTAGTCCCAGCTACTCAGGAGGCTGAGGCAGGAGAATGGCGTAAATCGGGGAGGCGGAGCTTGCAGTGAGCTGAGATCCGGCCACTGCACTCCAGCCTGGGCGACAGAGCAAGACTCTGTCTCCAAAAAAAAAAAAAAAAAAAAAATTAGCCAGGTGTGGTGGCATGCGCCAGTAGTCCCAGCTACTTGGAAGGTGGAGGTGGGAGGATTGCATGAGCCAAGGAGGTCCTTTTTTTAAAAGGCTGAATAATATTCTGCTCTACGTATATACTACATGTTATTTATCCATTCATCCACAGACACCTGCGTTGTTTCCACTTTGGGCTACGATGAATTATGCTGCAATGAACATGGGTGTGCAGATACCTCTTTGAGACCCTGCTTTCCATTCTGTGTGTGTGTGTGTTTTGTTTTGTTTTATTCGGAGATGGAGTTTTGCTCTTGTTGCCCAGGCTGGAGTGCAGTGGCACGATCTCAGCTCACTGCAACCTCCGCCTCCCAGGTTCAAGCATTCTCCTGCCTTAGCCTCCTGAGTAGCTGGGATTACAGGCGTCTGCCACCACGCCTGGCTAATACTTCGTACTTTTACTAGAGATGGAGATTCACCATATTGGCCAGGCTGGTCTCAAACTCCTGACTTCGGGTGATCCATCCACCCACCTTGGCCTCCCCAAGTGCTGGGATTACAGGTGTGAGCCATCGTGTCAGGCCCTCTGTCCTGTGTGTGTTTTGATGTGCATCAGAGAAGATCTGAAGAGGCAGACAATAGCAGAACACTGGAGAGTGGGCCTAGCGTGGAGGGGCAGGTGGCACTTTGACTTACATTGTATACACTTTGTGTTTCATATTTTTACAATAGGCATTAGGTTCTGTTTACTAGTAAGTTATGAAATCACTAATGGTTATGTATTTGGTTTGTACTATATTAAGTTGGCAGCCCCTTTACCAGAAATACCTCCAGATGTTGTGAGAGAATGTAGATTGGGACTGAAGGAGGAGAACCCTTCCAAAAAAGTCTTTGAGGAATGTACTAGGTAAGTGGTTCATGCCGAGCCCTGCATATATTGTCTGTGACTAACCCCGAGACAGACAGCTTACAGGAGGTTTCTCTGCATAAAACAAGTTCTTGGAGTGTAGTTGACCCTTGAGCAACATGGGCATTAGGGACGCTGATACCACCCAACCCCCTGCGCAGTTGAAAATATGTGTATAGGCCGGGCGCGGTGGCTCAAGCCTGTAATCCCAGCACTTTGGGAGGCTGAGACGGGCGGATCACGAGGTCAGGAGATCGACACCATCCTGGCTAACACAATGAAACCCCGTCTCCACTAAAAATACAAAAAAATTAGCCGGGCGTGGTGGCGGCGCCTGTAGTCCCAGCTACTTGGGAGGCTGAGGCAGGAGAATGGCGGGAACCCGGGAGGCGGAGCTTGCAGTGAGCCGAGATCGCGCCACTGCACTCCAGCCTGGGCGACAGAGCGAGACTCCGCCTCAAAAAAAAAAAAAAAAAAAAAAGAAAATATGTGTATAACTTTTGACTCTCCCCAAAGCTTAACTATTACTAGCCTACTGTTGACCAGAGGCCTTACCGATAACATAAACAGCGATGAACACATATTTTATATGTTATGTGTATTATATGCTATACTTTTACAATAAAGTATGCTAGAAAAAAGAAAGTGTTATTAAGATAATCATAAGGAAGAGAAAATATAATTCCTATTCACAAAGTAGAAATAGATCATCATAAAGGTCTTCATCCTTGTCATCTTCACATTGAGGAGGCTGAGGAGAAGGAGGAAGAGGAGGGGCTGGTCCTGCTGTCTCAGGGGTGGCAGATGTGGAAGAAAATATGAGGAGAAGGAGGAAGAGGAGGGGCTGGTCCTGCTGTCTCAGGGGTGGCAGATGTGGAAGAAAATATGAGGAGAAGGAGGAAGAGGAGGGGCTGGTCTTGCTGTCTCAGGGGTGGCAGATGTGGAAGAAAATATGAGGAGAAGGAGGAAGAGGAGGGGCTGGTCTTGCTGTCTCAGGGGTGGCAGATGTGGAAGAAAATATGAGGAGAAGGAGGAAGAGGAGGGGCTGGTCCTGCTGTCTCAGGGGTGGCAGGAACGGAAGAAAATACACGCATAAGTGGCTCCTGGCATCTCAACTCGAATTGTCCAAGGGTCAACTGTACTTTACCCATTAAAATGATTACTTTCTCTAGAAAGAGGTGAATGAAGAGTAATAATTCCGTGTACACATGAGGCACACTGAAAGGGGTCCCATCGTTTAGCGCCAGTATCCTAGTATCCTAGGGGAGTGGCACACCTAAGCCTGTGCAGCCAGAGCATGGTGGGGCTGGGGCTGGAACCCGTGATGCTTTAATGATGCGACTGCCTTGAAAATAACAAACAGGCCAGGCTCGGTGGCTCATGCCTGTAATCCCAGCATGTTGGGAGGCCGAGATGGGCAGATTGCTTGAGGCCAGGAGTTCAAGACCAACCTGGTCAACATAGAGAAGCCCCATCTCTACAAAAAAAATACAAAATTTAGCCGGGCATGGTGGTGTGTGCCTGTAATCCCAGCTACTCAGGAGGCTGAGGCACGAGAATCACTTGAACCTGGGAAGCAGAGGGAGCAGTGAGCTGAGATCACACCCTGGGCAACACAGTGGGACTCTGTCTCAAAAATAAATAAATAAATAAATAAATAAATGCACTCCAGCCTGGGCAACACAGTGAGACTCTGTCTCAAAAATAAATAAATAAATAAATAAATAAATAAATAAATAAATAAAATAAAATAAAAAACAAGGCTTTCTCTGTCTATCTGGCTTTCTCTTGAGGTGTGGGTACTCTGCACACTGAGGAGCTGGGTTAGATACTTATTCCTTTAGTGAGAATTCAGTGGCCAATTCTACATCCCACAGATAAATGGCATGCATCCCATCTTTCTCCTAGCCAGGTGTATGGCACTGGACTAGAACCCTTCCCTCTGTCCCTCAGCCCCCTCCTCTGAAAATGGATTAGAGTAAATGGATTAGAGTAAATGTAAATATTTTCTATTTCAAGTCATCTTTTACTTATTCTTGTTGGATATTCACATTAATGGTATTCTAGTGTTTGTGATTTGAACTGTTTTGCAAGAAGATGTTGTCTGTGGCTGGGCACCATGGCTCATGCCTGTAATCCCAGCACTTTGGGAGGCCAAGGCAGAAAGATTGTGTGACCTCAGGAGTTTGAGACCAGCCTAGGCAACATGGTGAAACCCTGTCTCTAATACAAAAATTAGCCAGGCATAGTGGTGCATGCCTATAGTCCCAGCTATTCAGAAGGCTTGAGGTGGGAGGATCAATTGAGCCTGGGAGGTCAAGGCTGCAGTGACTGTGACCTCACCACTACCCTCCAGCCTGGGTGACAGAGCCAGACCAAAACAAAGAAAAGAGATGTTGGCTCCATGGCTCCATTTGATCGCTTCTCTGGTACAGCAGACAGCACAGGCTTGGTCTGTGCTCTCTCATACTGATCCTGGGACATTGTGGTAAGAATCAGATTTCTTCCTGTCTTCATCTGGGATGTCACAGAAGCCAGGAAGGGCCAATCTTTCATTCCACACTTTTATTCTTCACATCCCTCTTTTGGGCATGTACACACCCTAAACTCTTTCTTGTACATGTGCACTAAGAGACATGTAATAGTAATAACACAACAATAATAAAGCTAGGCTTCGTGGCTCACACCTGTAGTGCCAGTGCTTTGGGAGGCTGAGGAGGGGGGATTGCTTGAGTTCAAGGCCGCAGTGAGCCATGATTGTGCCATTGCACTCTGGCCTGGGCAATAGAGTGAGACCCTGTAACAACAACCACCAACAAAAAATAACAAAACAATAGTAAATGTTTGGAAGTATTAATGCGTTTACCTGCTCACAGTAACCCTATGAAGTAGGCATGATTATTATTTCTGTTTTACAGAAAGAGAAACTGAGGCCATAGAGGTTGGGTAAGTTGGCTCAGGTCCCTCAGCCAGTGAGTGGCTGAAGCAGGACGTGCAGCAGCCCATGGCTTTGACTTCTGTGCTGTCCTCCAGGGGACCTTTCCACTGTGCCTCGCACATGGGAAGCGTGCTGCTTGACAACAGAACAGCTGACGCCCTCACTCCCAAGAAGGGAATGCATCCTTCTATTTCACTGCTCTTTGCATTCATTCTATTTCACTTCTATTTTCACTTACAGCGTTAGAACCTAATGTGGACTTTTATAATTGCAAATTCAAACTATTGAATTGTGTGTAATCATTGCCTTTCCCATATTCAGTGCTTATTAATGCACTAAAACATACTTGTTTTTACTTCTTAATACAGCAAATGTATATAATTTTGTAAAATCTTTTTCTAGAGTTACCCATAACTACTTAAGAGGGGAACCATTTGAAGAATACCAAGAAAGCTCATATTTTTCTCAGTTTTTACAATGGAAATGGCTGGAAAGGTATGTTCTAATTTTAAACTCAATAAAAGCCAGTTGAAGTGGCACATGCCTGTAGCCCCAGCTACTCAGGAGGCTGAGGCTGGAGGATTGCTTAAGCCCAAGACTTGAAGGCTATAGTATGAGATGATCATTCCTGTGAATAACCACTGCACTCCAATCTGGGTAATGTAGCAAGACCCCATCTCTAAAAAAGAAAAAAAGAAAAGAGACCTCAATAAAACAAGTGTTAATTTCTCACGATACATACTGATTGACATAGACTTTTCCATCTGTCAAAATACAATTAGAAATTTTGAGTTGTATATGATATTTTTATACAGAAATTTTCATAGGTATTAGTATTGTACAATTTCTTCTAATTTAGTAGACTCTGTTCTCTCTTTTTAAAACGGCAGGTATCCCTGTTGTTTCAGTGACTAGAAAATAAAACTTAGCTTAGATTTTTGGTGATAGAATAGGATGCAGTGGGTGGCACCTGGCAGTTAAAACCTGCTCAGCCTCTTACTGTTTATGTGGCCTCAGGTAAGTGGCTTAGCCTGTATGAGTGGCAGGTCCTTGTTCTGTAAATTAGAGGTAATTATAGAATCTGCCTCCTTGCACCATTGCTAGGATCACCTGAGAAATGTGTGTACAACGCTTATAGCACAATGTTTGGTGCACAAAATAAGTACTTAAAAAGTGTTAGCTGCAGGCCGGGTGCAGTGGCTCATGCCTGTAATCCTAGCACTTTGAGAGGCTGAGGCGGCTGGATCACCTGAGGTCAGGAGTTCGAGACCAGCCTGGCCAAAATAGTGAAACCCATCTCTACTAGAACTACAAAAATTAGCCAGGCGTGGTGGCGTGCACCTGTACTCCCAGCTACTTGGGAGGCTGAGGCAGGAGAAATCGCTTGAACCCGGGAGGTGGAGCTTGTGGTGAGCTGAGGTGGCTCCACTGCACTCCAGCCTGGGTGACAGAGCGAGACTCTGTCTCAAAAAAAAAAAAAAAAAAAAAAGGGTTAGCTGCTACTAGTGTTATTATTAGTACTATTATTATTGATCGATTAAATTTCCAGTTCTTGCTTATACATGCTGTTTTTGAGGCATTGGGTATAAACATATTTGAGGTTCTTTTTTCAAAGCATGGCACAATGTATATATGTCATCTTCCTCACATGCTTTCTGAACAGGTTGAGAGGGGTCTACCCAAGTCTACACCGGCAGTTATGAACATACACATTTCCTAGTGTCAGCTGGTTTCAGACCTGTCTTTAGTTAGTAAGGATAATTGGACTGTTCTGCCTTTTGCTTCAGTGTCTTAAATGTTAATTAAGATTAATTGGCTGGGTGGTGGCTCACACCTATAATCCCAGCACTTTGGGAGGCTGAGGCAGGCGAATCACAAGGTCAGGAGTTTGAGACCAGCCTGGCAAACATGGTGAAACCCCGTCTCTACTAAAAATACAAAAAATTAGCTGGGTGTGGTGGCGGGCGCCTGTAATCCCAGCTACTCGGGAGGATGAGGCAGGAAAATTGCTTCAACCCAGGAGGCGGAGGTTGCAGTGAGCTGAGATCGTGCCACTGCACTCCAGCCCTGGCGACAGAGTGAGACTCCATCTCAAAAAAAAAAAAGATGAATTAATTGCTCTTAGAGCAAGTCAAGAGCTGTCCTGCTAGAGGGAGCCACAGTCCCTGAGCACAGACACCCTTTGTCCTGGGCATCTCCTTTGAGCAGAATGGTTCAATAAATGAGGCGAAGACAAGCGCTGATTAGTCTTTTCTGTTTTAAAAGAACAATGCAATGTGGACCTGAAACTTATTTTTCTCATTGATTAGGCAGCCCGTAACCAAGAACACATTTAGACATTACAGAGTTCTAGGAAAAGGCGGATTTGGAGAGGTGAGTAATGGGAGCCAGTTCCGAGCAGCGCTGCTAGCTGGGTGGGCAGCAAGGTCCTGAGAACACGGCTTCAGGTAACGCATCAACTCTCCCAGTACACTGTTGCCTTAGTGGGCGTTTTGGGAATCATCTTAGCCGACTGTGAGAATCCACATGGAATTTTGAGCAAAAGGTTTTGAAGAATCCCTTCTCTTGGTGACTTCACCTTTTACCTCATAGTTCTGAAGAAGCTGGTTTCCATGCTTGATGCCCCAGCTCAGTCACTTTGCCCAGATGGAAAGATGATTCTGCTCCTGTATTGTGGAATTTCCATGATTCTATTTCCGTAAATTTAAGACTGACCCCAAATTCACATAGTACAGAGTGAATTATTAAATATACTTACGTAACCCTGCTCTGTTTGGACATGTATGTACCTCATACCTACATCAAAAGGTGTTTGGAAATGTGTCAATTTGGGAAAATCCTAAGGAAATGACTCACAGACTCACGAGGGATTTTTTGTTTGTTTGTCTGTCTGTTTGTTTATTTGAGATGGAGTTTTGCTCTTCTTGCCCAGGCTGGAGTGCAATGGCGTGATCTCGGCTCACCACAACCTCCGCCTCCTGGGTTCAGCCGATTCTCCTGCCTCAGCCTCCCGAGTCGCTGGGATTACAGGCATGCGGCACCACACCTGGCTAATTTTTGTATTTTTAGTAGAGGAGGATTTCTCCATGTTGGTCAGGCTGGTCTTGAACTCCCGACCTCAGGTGATCCGCCCTCCTCAGCCTCCCAAAGTGCTGGGATTACAGGCGTGAGCCACCGTGCCCGGCCTGGGGTGTTGTTTAAATATGATGGGTCTCCTAGATGGAGACCACTGTAGTTGGCGGATGGAGAACAGCAGCAGTTCTGGTCTGGGGAATTTAAAAGAATGTTAATTACCTTATTAGTTACCTGGAGTGATCATATGGAGTTCAAGAACTTACAAGCCCCTAAGAGCCAGGCAAGCCATTGCCAAACTAACACTGTATGTTTAACTCAGAAGCAGGTTACACTGCCTGGGTGTGACTCAGATATTATTGCTCCCATATTACATTCAAAGCAAAAGCCACTAGCATTGGCTTGAAGTTAATTAGAAAGCTGACCTAGGAGGCAGCACACTGCAACCGAGATCTGTCATGCACCTGCAGCTTGACATGACAAGAAATTGGCCAACATAGTCATGACTTCAGTAACAGTACTGTCCCTCTGCTACAGTTCCAGAGGCCATGAAGAATATTTTGCCTAATCCAGTCAAATGCTTGCTCTCGTCCCTCCATGACAGATATTTCTGTAAGAAATCCGTCCTCTGTTTGAGTTTGTCCTAGAACAGGAGAGTCATTTTCTCACTTCGAGTCTTGCTAATCTGCCTCTAATGATCTGCAAAAGTAAAGACTCAGATTTTGTGAAAGAGCAGAGGAAACATTTCTGGAACGTAGGTCATGTGTTTACAAAGGAATGAAAGTCTAATTATAGCCACATGTCAGTTTATAAAACATGTCAGTCCTGATAGGATTCAACAGGGACATGTTAGCAAATTTTAGCTATTGTGAAAGACCTGGTGCTGGGTGCGGTGGCTCACACCTGTAATCCTAGCACTTTGGGAGGCCAAGGTGGGCGGATCACTTGAGCCCAGAAGTTCCAGACCAGCCTAGGCAACATGGCAAGACCCCCTCTCTATTTAAATATTTAATATAAATAAATACATAAAAAAGAAGACAAGAAAGACTTAGTATAATTATGATTGTATAGATTACTTCTTAACAGATTTACTTGGGTTCCCAAACGAATGACTGGCTGCACGAATCAAGCATGGCAGTTTTCAGCAGACTTGCTCTGGAGGTGGTGTGCTCTCCGTCAAGGCCCAGAGGCAGTGAGCAGTCAGCCCACCCCTACTCTGAATGCCTGTCGGAAGGAGCCCTGCTCGCCCTAATGCGGGGACAGCCTCGGTGCCCTTTAATCCAGATTCTCATCGTGCATTTGCTTTTTCCAAATGCTAGCACTTCCTCTAGTGGTCTTGAGAGAGCAAACGTAGTTGGTTTTATTTTGTCAACAGTAATTCTTTTGCTTATGCTTGAAGTCCTCCGAAATTAATTTGTAGGGTCCTGAGCGAGCACAATGGTAAGGGAATTGAGTAGACATCTCTGCTGTCGTGGTGTTAGGCCGCAGACTGTAGTGGAAGGAGCACGTACTCAGACGTGGACAGACCTGAGGCCAGGGTCCTGTCGTATCACTTCCAGCAGTGTGATCATGGGCCCGCCATGGCGATCTCATCTCTAGCAGGGAAATGATCGGCCCTGCCCGCCAGGCTGCTGTAAGCCAGTGAGTGTTCACCCCCAGCTGTTAGCACAATGCCTGACACTCTTGTCTGCTTTCCATTCCCTGTCTCTGATTTGCCAATTCCACTTAGAATAATTTTTAAAAAATTAACGATAAAGAGAGATGAAGGGATTTTTATGCCAAGTCTTAATAGTAAGAAAATGATTAAATACATTTTGCCATAGTCACATTTTAGGAAAACATTTCATGATAGGAAAATAGTCACACAATAAGATTTTTTAAAAGGAGGTTAAGAAATATTACCTATTTTACAATATGAGACCAGTTTTGCCATCAAAGGCTGGGGTGGTGGGGAACAGGGTATGTATTCTTGCATACCCATGTAAGAAGGTGGGCCTAGAATCAAATAGAACAAAATATTAACAGTGATTATCTTGGAATTGCAGGTGAGTTTTTAATCACTGTCCTTCTTACTTCCAATATTTTCCACAATTAACTTTGTATTTCTTTTACCACCAAAATTGTTTTATTGGTAGATAAAATTATATCATGTCTTACGTTTGCTTTTAAAGCAGTCCCCTGTGGGGTGTGCAATGGATGGGAGTTGGAAGAAACAGTAGCCTAATGTTGATGACACAGAGGCAGGGGGACCAGAACCTGAGGCTCATGATACTATTTTTTCCATTTTTGTATGTTGGAAATTTTTCATGACATAAAGTTAAAATAATACATAAATACTACTTTAAGAAGTAATAGAATAAAGATATGAAAATTGTGAATTATATGAAATATATTTCCTTATACTCTTGACTTTTTAAATTAAAAATTCAAGAATCTTTTTAGGCCAGGCACAGTGGTTCACACCTGTTAATCCCAGCACTTTGGGAGGCCAAAGTGGGCGGATCACCTGAGGTCAGGAGTTCAAGACCAGCCTGGCCAACATGGCGTCTCTACTAAAAATACAAGAAAAATTAGCCAGGCATGGTGGCGGGCACCTGTAATCCCAGCTACTCCGGAGGCCGAGGCAGGAGAATCCTGAGATGGAGTCTCACTCTGTCACCCAGGCTGGAGTGCAATGGCACGATCTCGGCTCATTGCATCCTCTGCCTCCCAGGTTCTAGTGATTCTTCTGCCTCAGCCTCCAGAGTAGCTGGGATTACAGGCACCCGCCACCATGGCTGGTGAATTTTTTTTTTTCCATATTTTTAGTAGAGACGGGGTTTCACCATGTTGGCCAGGCTGGTTTCAAACTCCTGACCTCAGGTGATCTGCCTGCCTTGGCTTCCCAAAGTGCCGGGATTATAGGCGTGAACCACCATGCCCAGCTGAAAAAAGAATCTTTTTAGTTTTACTTTTTAAAACTTTTGCACTTTTACAAAAAGTAAAATAGACATATGGGAACATTTAAAAATTAAACAGATGTACCGTGATCACCTATGCCAACTAGTGCCGTTTGTACACTGTCTTAGAGTTGATAGAACGCAGCGCGTCACTGAGAGGAGGAGCCGACTCACACTGACAACGCCCACCTTTGAGACGGTCTCCTCATGTGCTGCTGCTGGTCTCTGCCAGTGAGGGCCTCATCAAGCAAAGGGTTTCCTTTGTGTGGCCTAAGAAACGTCAGGTGGACATAAACCTCCTTTACTTTGCTGTTTAAACTAGGTTTGTGCCTGTCAAGTGCGAGCCACAGGAAAAATGTATGCCTGTAAAAAGCTACAAAAAAAAAGAATAAAGAAGAGGAAAGGTGAAGCTATGGCTCTAAATGAAAAAAGAATTCTGGAGAAAGTGCAAAGTAGATTCGTAGTAAGTGTCTCCTCTTAGTCTTCACTGTGCCTTGTGTGATTCGTAGCACTTATGTCAGCCGACATGCCGCTCAGCTCACTCTCATTGAAGCTGTGGAAGTCATTTCTTGTTTTCTGAGTTTATGTGGGGTTTTGCTCCTTTTAGTAACAGTTTTGTTTTTAGTAACAGCTCCTTCTTTCTTATTCAAACCTTAGAAAACATGAAAGTAGTGATACTGCTTCTAACTTCTGGTTTGTTATAAATCTGTAGTCTCCCACCTCCCATTCTGTCCCTCTTGACACCTGCCAGCTTGCAGAGCTTGTCCAGGTCCGTTAGTTACCTTGTGTTTCTTGGTGAATTTCCCTTATCACAGCCAGCCAGAGCTTATCTCTGTTTGCTGTCAGTCTCCAGTCAAGTTTCTCTGGCCCCCGGGACACTGACTTGGCTGTGCTTGAGGAGACCTTCTCTGTCTCCTTTTTTTTTTTTTGACACAAGGTCTCGCTCTGTGGTCCAGGCTGGAGTGCAATGGCACAATCTTGGGTCACTGCAGCCTTGACCTCCCAGGCCCAAGTGATCCTCCTACCTCAGCCTCCCAAGCAGCTGGGAGCACAGGCACACTCCACCATGCCCAGCTAGGTTTTAATTTTTTAATTTTTATTCTTATTTTTAGAGATGAGATCTCTGGCCAGGCATGGTGGCTCACACCTGTAATCCCACTACTTAGGGAGGCCGAGGAGGGTGGATCACCTGAGGTCAGGAGTTTGAGACCAGCCTGACCAACGTGGTAAAATCCCGTCTCTACTAAAAATACGAAAAGAATTAGCTGGGCCTGGTGGCGCGTGCTTGTAGTCCCAGCTACTCGGGATGCTGAGGCAGGAGAATCGCTTGAACCTGGGAGGCGGAGCTTGCAGTGAGCTGAGATTGCACCACTGCACTCCAGCCTGGGCAACAGAGCAAGACTCTGTCTCAAAAAAAAAAAAAAAGAGAGAGGGAGAGATGAGATCTCCTTATGTTGCTCAGGCTGGTCTTGAACTCCTGGACTCAAGTGATCCACCTGCCTCAGCTTCCCAAAGTGTTGGGATTACAGGCGTGAGCCACCACCTCTGGCTGAGAATACTATCTCTAGCCCCTCTTCTCATGTGGGCCTCCTCCCTCTGGCCTCAATCTGTTTTCTGTCTTTTCCTTTTTCTGGGAAGTTTACTGCTAGGCCCTCAACTAGTATATCCCAATTGTATGAAGCCCAGATCCCACCTTCCCACCTTTCTGGGGAGGACAGAACATTGGGTGGACTGGTATGAGTTCAGGGAAGCAGTTCCAGGCTTTACAGTGTGCATGGTATAGTGTGGTTCTCATCTCCAAACCCAGTTTCTGTCTACCTAGTTATGTATGTCCTGTAGCAGCTACTGAAGTATGAAGACTGGTTGAAGGGAGAGTGTGAATGAGAATTTATAAAATGATTTGTCATGTTAGAGCTATTTCCTCCAAGCCATTTATTTCTTAGCCCTGAGGTCAGCTGCTTTGTGCAGGGGGACAGATGTTCCCAAACAGTGTACCTTCACAGCCAGCACCTGAATTTAATAGCACAGTGTGTATATGATATGTCACTCTCACCTGCAATTACATGAAAATCTTTAATACAGTGGGCTTCTCTGGGAGTTGCTTTAAACATATTTTTTGGCTGGGCTTGGTGGCTCATGCCTGTCATTTCAGCACTTTGGGAGGCCAAAGTAGGAGGATCACTTGAACCCAGGAGTTTGAAACCAGCCTGGGCAACATAGGGAGACCCCCATCTCTACAATTTTTTTTTTTTTTTTTTTTTTTTTTTGAGACAGAGTCTCGCACTGTCTCCTGGGCTGGAGTGCAGTGGCGCGATCTTGGCTCACTGCAACATCCAGTTCCCGGATTCAAGTGATTCTCCTGCCTCAGTCTCCCAAGTAGCTGGGATTATAGGCGCCCACCACTACACCCAGCTAATTTTTTGTATTATTAGTAGAGACTGGGTTTCACTTTGTTAGCCAGGTTGGTCTCAAACTCCTGACCTTGTGATCCGCCCGCCTTGGCCTCCCAAAATGCTGGGGATTACAGGCGTGAGCCACCGAGCCTGGCCTCTACAAAAAAATTTTTTTCCAAAAAGGCCAGGCACTGTGGCTCATGCCCTGTAATCCCAGCCCTTTGGGAGGCCGAGGCCTGCAGATCACCTGACGTCAGGAGTTTGAGACCAGCCTGGCCAACATGGTGAAACCCTGTCTGTAATAAAATACAAAAATTAGCTGGGTGTGGTGGTGGGTGCCTGTAATCCCAGCTACTCGGGAGGCTGAGACAGGAGAATTGCTTGAACTCAGAAGGCAGAGGTTGCAGTGAGCCCAGATCGCGCCATTGTACTCCAGCCTGAGTGACAGAGTGAGACTCCATCTCCAAAAAAAAAAAAAAAAAAAAATTAGCCAGGCATGGTGGTGTGTGACTGTAGTCCCAGCTACTCAGAAGGCTGTGGTGGGAGGATCGCTTGAACCCAGGCGGTCCGGGCTGCAGTGAGCCATTATTGCCCACTGCACTCCATCCTGGTGACAGAGTGAGATCCCATCTCAAAAACAAAACAAAGCAAAAAAAAAAAAAAAAAAATCCCTGTGTAACTACCTTGGAACATAGAAATCCACAGTCCAGCTTTATGAAAAGAACAGATGCAGTTGTTACAGTTTCTTTTGCTTAAATGCTTTGATTTCTGTATTGTCGGCCTCTCCCAAGGAACCTAGAGGCATTTTTCTGCTTCTGTATTGGTGTTTTCTCCCTGCTTACAGCGGCACGTTCATCCCTGCTGCGCCCTGACCCATGGCAGTAAAGCCTCTCCCTGGAGCCCCCTGCCCCTGCCTGCACCCTCGCCCCCCACAGTCTGTTCTCCACGGAGCAGTGCAAGGCAGTCTGTGGAAAAGTTAAATCAGTCATCTACTTTCCAGATTAAAAACTCCAGTGGCCACCTGTCACTCTGAGAATAAAATGAGACTCAACTCTGGCCTTTCAGGCACTGAGGGACCTAGCTCCTGCCGCCTCTGCCACATGAGGCCGGGCGCCTGACCGTGCTCTGCATGGAGCATCGCTGCCTTTCCCTGTCGTCCTTGGTCTCACTCCGCATAGGCAGTCTGCGAGTCACCCGTCACTCTGTCGGATGGTTTATTTGCATTGGTTCTTCTGTCATCTGTGACTGCCCAGGCCTCCTCCACCACGATATTAGGACAGAGCTCCTCAGGGCCATGCTCACCACTGCGTTCCCGCTGCCTACAACAAGGCTGGCGTGGTAAAAGATTCTCAATATTATTTTAATATATATTGAGCAGATGTTGAATGAATATTCACAAGAGGAGAGGAAGTAAGGGATCCTTACTAATTCAAGGACCACTGATAATTCCTTGTGGTTTAATCTGTGTTCTATTGCATGCCCGCTGGGGCCTCCTCTCCTCCACCTCTCTTACTGTTTTAACACATTGTGACCAAGTTGGATTTATTCCAAGAATGAAAATCGAATAATGTAATTTATCATATTACCAGAATCAAGGGAAGAACCGTATGGTCATCTCAATAGCTGCAGGAAGAGCTTTGGATGGGAGCTAACGCCCAGGCAGGCTTAAAAACCCGAAGCAAACCAGGCACAGAAAGGAACTTCCTTCAGAAAATCTCTGGCACAATCGTACTTAATATGAAAAAATTAAAAGCTTTTCCCCATGAGATCTGGAATAAGGCTAGATACCTGCTGACCATTTCAATTCAACATGATATTGGAAATTCTGGCCAGTGCAGTAAGGTAAAGGAAAAAGTGAAAGGGATTAAGGTTAGAGAAAAGAAGAAAAAAGGTTGGAAAAAAACCCTCATCATTTTCTTTTTCTTTTTTTAAATTTTTATTTATTTATTTATTTTTAGATAGAGATGGGGGTCTCACTATATTGCCCAGGCTGGTCTGGAACTCCTAGGATCAACTGATCCTCCCACCTAGGCCTCCCAAAGTGTGGGGATTATAGGTGTGAACCACTGTGCCCGGCCAAAACTCATTATTTTCAAACAACATCGTTGTACGTGGAGACCTTCCTGGATTTTTAGATAACCTATTAAGGATTTAACCAAGTGATTAAATATGAATCAGCCCCTAACAATTAGAAAATGGAAATGTTACTGATACCATTTACAATGGCCTCAAGAAACATCAGAATCTAAGAAAAGGCCTGGCGGGTGGTGTGCACCTGTAGTCCCAGCTTCTTGGGTGACTGAGATGTGAGGATCACTTGAGCTCAGGAGTTTGAGTCTAGCCTGGGCAACATAGCAAGACCTTGATCTTAAAAAACAGTTCTAGGCAAAGAACTGACAAAAATGTTCAAGACTTCTACAGTGAGAACTGTAAAATGTTATTATAAGAAATTAAAGAAGGAGGCTGGGTGCTGTGGTTCACGCCTGTGATCCCAGCACTTTGGGAGGCCGAGGCAGGTGGATCACTTGAGGTCAGGAGTTTGAGATCAGCCTGGCCAACATGGTGAAACCGCATCTCTACTATAAATGCAAAAATTAGCCAGGCGTGGTGGTGGGTGCCTGTAATCCCAGCTACTCAGGAGGCTGAGGCAGGAGAATTGCTTGAAACCTGGGAGACAGAGGTTGCAGTGAGCCGAGATGGCACCACTGCACTCCAGCCTGAGCGACAGAGCAAGACTCTGTCTCAAAAAAATAAAGAAGGTCTAAATAAATGGGGGGAGACCACGTTCCCAGATTGGAAGACCCAATGCTGTAAAGATGCTGGTTTCCCCTAATTGATCTATAGATTAAATGAATTGAATGCAGCCCCAATCAAAATCCCAGCAGGGTGTGTGTGTGCGTGTGTGTGAGTGTGTGTGTGTGTGTGTGAATTGACATACAAACCAATAGAAAAATGGGGGAAAAAATAGACTAGGCATTTCACAAAAGAGGATCCAAATGGCTATTAATTACATGAAAATGTCCCCTATATTTTCATATATACAGAAATGCAACTTAAGACCACAGTAGGAGACTACTCCACCAGCAGGATTCAAACTAAAAAGGTTGACAACACAAAATGTGGGAAAGAGGTGGTGCAGTGAGACCTCCCTTGCGCTGCTGGTGGGGCATAGCCTGTGTGCTGAACGTGGTTGCCCGGGAAGTACAGACTGTCAGGGCTCAAGTGATGAGAGCAAAACACAGAGGAGTCATAAGCCCAAGTGTCTTGGTGAAGTTTTGCCACTTCTTTGCTTAGCTTTAGGAAGTTCTCTCTTTTGGCGACACAGCTGCGGTAAAATCTTCAGTATGCCAAGGTCCAAGAGGCACGTGATGTGTCCTGTACATTTCTCTGAAACATAATAGTATTCGCATGTTCTGATTATAAACCTAACATGGATTGTTTGCATATTAGCAAATAGAGGAAATCACCAGTGAAAGAGCAAGTTCGTGGCCGGGCGCGGTGGCTCAAGCCTGTAATCCCAGCACTTTGGGAGGCCGAGACGGGCGGATCACTAGGTCAGGAGATCGAGACCATCCTGGCTAACACGGTGAAACCCCGTCTCTACTAAAAAATACAAAAAACTAGCCGGGCGAGGTGGCGGGCGCCTGTAGTCCCAGCTACTCGGGAGGCTGAGACAGGAGAATGGCCCGAACCCGGGAGGCGGAGCTTGCAGTGAGCTGAGATCCGGCCACTGCACTCCAGCCTGGGCGACAGAGCGAGACTCCGTCTCAAAAAAAAAAAAAAAGAGCAAGTTCGTGTTCTGTCTTTATGATGTTGCTATCTTTAGGTTAGTTTAGCCTACGCTTACGAAACCAAAGATGCCTTGTGCTTGGTGCTCACCATTATGAATGGAGGGGATTTGAAGTTTCACATTTACAACCTGGGTAATCCCGGCTTTGATGAGCAGAGAGCTGTTTTCTATGCTGCAGAGCTGTGTTGCGGCTTGGAAGATTTACAGAGGGAAAGAATTGTATACAGGTAAGAACGGTGCTACCTAATGGAGCCTGCAAGTCTTGGAGCCAGTTTCTCCCAGCTCTAGGCTTCCCTGGCTCACACTGGCTGCTTCCAGGCTGAGCAGGAGAGTAGCTGGGAGCCCCTCAATGGTGATTTATAGGGGTGGTCACTTACACTATTGGGAATATGGCCAGTCAGAGGGCCCTGGGTGTTTTTTTGTTTTGTTTTTTGAGATGGAGTCTCACTCTGTCATCTAGGCTGGAGTGCAATGGCGCAATCTCGGCTCACTGCAGTTCAAGCGATTCTCCTGCCTCAGACTCCTGAGTAGCTGGGACTATGGCACCCACCACCATGCCCAGCTAATTTTTTGTATTTTTACTAGAGATGGGGTCTCACCATGTTGGCCAGGCTGGTCTCGATCTCCTGACCTCAGGCGATCCGCGGGCCTCAGTCTCACAAAGTGCTGGGATTACAGGCGTGAGCCACCGTGCCCAGCTTACATTTCTAATAAATTGTCTTTTTGAAGCAGAAGTTTGTTTTTTACTTGTTAGGTTGATCAAACAAAGGTAGTGCTACTCATGTAAACATAAGAAGAGCCTGTTTCCAAGGTTCTTAGGTATTTTGATAGTTCTGATAAGGATGTATTATGTCCTGCCATATAACATATCGATTTAATGTCTTGAAGTAGTAGTGTTTTTTTTTTGCATCTTAGAATTTAGTAAAGAAAATTAAACTTAATAGTTTAGTGTAATCAATGTATTTAGTTTTAGGAAAACACAAAACCCCTTCCTATCCCTTAAATGCTGGAGTTCCTGGGCTCTGAGTCTCTTCTCAGTCACTCTCCCTGGGCAGTTTCATTTCCTCCCTTCTGTGGGTTCATCTACCAGTTATAGTCGGTCTCCCACTGGGGTCCATGTTGTAGATTCAACCAGCTGTGAATCGAAAATATTCAAAACATCCTGCTCAGCAGGGTGAAAAGGGGAAAAAAAGAGAAAATATTCAGAAAAAAAGGATGGTTGTGTCTGTATTGAGCATGTAGACTTTTTTCTTGTCCCTATTCCCTAAATGATATCGTATAATAACAATTTACATATCATTTACATTGTGTCTGGTAGCATGTGTAATCTAGAGGTCATTTAAAGTAATTGGGAGGATGTGTGTAGGTTATACGGAAATTCTACATCATTTTATATCAGGGACTTGAGGACCCTTGGATTTTGATATCCAAGGGAAGGGGGCCTGATATGGGACCTGATGGTGTCTCCCTTGTTACCTTGCAAGCCTGGCCTTCATGGCCTTTGTGATGCAGCTCCCCACGGAGCCCTCCAGCCTTGGGTCCTGCTCCTCCCACACAGGCACCTCCTGCCCTTGTCATGCGAGAGTTTCAGCTGCTCAGGTGTCCTCACCTCACTGCACCTTTGCACAAGGTGTTCCTGTGTGGGTGCCACTCTCCACCCAGTCCCTCTTCCTGTCATTCTGAGAGACTCCTGCTCATCCGTCCAGAGTTAGCCCACATAGCACGAGGGTGTGAGGATGTGCCCCCTCTCCCACATCCTCCAGGTGCTGCCCACGTTGTCTGCTCAGATGGTCACGCCAGACAATGAGCTTCTTGGGAGTCCTTGATCTCACTTCTCCCTGTTCTGATGGACCTTTGGCTTCTCCTTATCTTCTATATCCCACAGCCAATATGGGATAAATATCTCTCAAGGATCAGAGACCAGGCTTGGCAGTGGGGCTGACACCTCTGCACCTTGAGCATTGAGCAAGGGGTGGATTGCTGCCCTGGCTGTGAGTCCTCTAGACACAGAGGTGGTTGCCTGAGTTGAGGAAGCCTTGTTGCCATTGCTTAGAGGTAAGAGTCTGGTGGTATTGGAGCATGGAACACACCCATAGGAGATTGGATTCTTTTGTTACTCCTGGAGTAAATCACACTTCACAGGTGACTACGGCTGAGCTGCTGTGTTTGGCTTCAGTCTTAAGATGAGTTGGATTTTCTCATATAAGCTTTGGCTCCTCTAACCTCTGGTACCCACTTGCCTCACCTACCTGCACTCAGTGGGGGCTGCCCATGGCTGCCCCATCCACCGCTGTGTCCACAGGACTCACCATCAGTAGCTATTACCAGGCATTTGTTGAATGAATGACCGATGGCCCAAGTGACATTCCCACCTCAGCCCCCTGAGTAGCTGGGACTACAGGTACATGCCACCACACCCAGCTTGAGGCATTCTAATATGGGGAATTTTCAGTTTTTGAAACTCTTAAAAATATGTTAATGGTTAAGAGAAATTGAGCCACGTTCATTAAGGACTAGTTGCTTTCCTTACTACTGGGCTGCATTTTTAATCACTGAAATGTCTTCAAATCTGTATAATTATGTAAAACAGTTCATTTTATACTGTCGTCATATGTGAGCTGTTTGCTGAGATGAATTTTGTAACATTCTTGTCCTGCCATGTGACAGCTAAAGACAGTTTCCATGGCTCATGAAGGGTGGTTTTGCTTTCTGCCATCCTGGCCCTTGCTCATGCTGGTTGTTCCCACTGGGTACTCCGGAATCACAGTGCCAGATTCTGAATCATTGAGCCTTCTGTTGTTGTTTCTTTCCTTGTAGAGACTTAAAGCCTGAGAATATTCTCCTTGATGATCGCGGTAAGTGGGCAAGCCTTTCCCATCTAACGGGTAGACTTTGTTAAGGGACTTGGATACAGAAAGTTGGATGCAGAAAGTGGACTTAATAATTAATAGAGAATGGAAACAACAACAAAGAAAAACTCTGTGGTATGTGTTCATTTTAAAAAGATAAAATACTGACAATTTGGTCATTTCCCTGTGTTTAGGCAAGAAGCAAAGCTGGTCATAATTTTCAAGTAATGATTGAGTTCAGAAGCATTTTTTTTTTTTTTTTTTTTTTTTTGAGACAGAGTCTTCCTATGTCGCCCAGGCTGGAGTGCAGTGGTGTAATCTTAGCTCACTGCAGACTTGAACTGCTGGGAACAAGCAATCCTACCACCTCAGCTTTCTGCAGAGCTGGGACTACAGGTGTGCGCCACCATGTTTTGTAGAGATAGGGGTCATGCTATGTTGTCCAGGCTGTTCTCAAACTACTGTCCTCAAGCAATCCTCCTGCCTTGCCTCCCAAAGCACTAGGATTATAGGCATGAACCACTGTGCCCTGCCTAGAAGCATACTAAAGTAAACACAAAGTCAGAACATTTTCTCTCTCTTGTTTCTTGCTGTTGACCCACCTCTTGCTTTATTCCTTTTTTATTTCCATTCCCCTCTAAACTTTGTCATGCTGCCCCTGGTGCTGTCCTCTTGTCCCATAGCATGTGTCATAGAGCAGGGTGCAGATGGCTGCTTGGAGACCCTGTAATAGTGGAGAGGGAGTGGCCCTTTTCAGCAGGCTCCTTGTCAGCAGCATGGGTGCGCACTCCACCTTGGTTCCTCTAAGGGACAGTCATACCCAGAATGCAAGGATGGTTGGACTGCTGGGGTGCGTGCTTGTGCTCACACATAGCTCACAAGCAGTGCTGGGAAAGAGCTTCTTTCAAGTGAGTTTTCTTGGCAAAGAAGGGTCTTACAGTCTAGTAGAGCGCATATGGCAGGGTCATAGTGGCTCCTGCCAAGAAGAGGACAGGCGTCTAATGCGGAGACTGAGGGCAGTTGCAGGGTACTTGGAATGCTAGTCTTCTTTTACACCTCTGCCAGATGCTTTCATGCTTATCTAATTCATGTATGACACCCCGCCCTGTGAGGAAGGAGGGTACTGGAATTCTCATTTTACTGAAGGCGATACCAGGATTTAGGAATCAAACTTGTCCAAGATTGTGTCCGTAGCTCCTGGCTTAGCCTGTGGTTCATTCCTGGTGGGGTGCTTCTAACCAGAGGTGGCTTGAGTGGGGCGAGCGCTAAGCAAAGCTGCTCACTTATTAAGTTGTTAAATGACTTAACAAGGGTAGGTAGAACATGCTTTGTATGTAAAATGGAGCGATATCCAACCTATGTGGTTGATTGGAACAGGGTGCGGTGCAGAGTGTGTGTGTAGTGTGCTCCCTTTTGTGTAAACAAAGCAGGGAATTGTGTGTATGTGTGATTGCTCAGAAACATAAACAAATATAAAGGGAGAATCATAAGAAACGATCAGAAGTGAAAACAAGGCAGGGGAGCACAATGATAACCTTTTTCTGTGTTTTTAGGAGATTTTTCTGTGTAGCTCCCTCTTCTTTAGAACTTTACCCCACACATTTGAGGTGAGCCATCCTTCCCCAGTGCTAACCCCTGCCTAGCTAACTTAACAAGACCCCTGCTCTGCCCAGGTTCCCCTCCTGTGCCACTATCTGAAAGGCACTCCTGGGTGGGACGCCAGGATGGTTGCTGGGCCAGTTCACTGTCTTTTCTCTTGGGAACCACAGTCCTCTGATGTCGATGACCATAGTTTTCTTTTTTTAAAATTCTTTTTAGGGTCAGAGTCTCTCTATGCTACCCAGGCTGGGTGCAGTAGCTACTCATGGGTGTGACTGTGGCACAATTACAACCTCAAACTCCTGGGCCTAAGCGACCCTCCTGCCTCAGCCTCCTGAGTAGCTGGAGTTTCAGGCATGCACCACCACATCCAGCAGCGATTAAGGATATGTTAATTGTTATGGTGTGATCATGCCTCACTGCAGTTTTGACCTCCAGGGCTCTAGTGATCCACCTTGCCTCAGCCTCGTGAGTAGCTGGGAATACAGGCATGGGCCACCATATCTGGCTAATTAAAAAAAATTGTAGGCCAGGCATGGTGGCTCATACCTGTAATCCTAGCACTTTGGGAGGCCAAGTCAGGTGGATCACTTGAGGTCAAGATTTCAAGACCAGCCTGGCCAACATGGTGAAACCCCGTCTCTACAAAAAATACAAAAATTAGCCGGGCATGGCAGTGCACCTCTAATCCCAGCTACTCAGGAGGCTGAGGCAGGAGAATTGCTTGAACCCGGGAGGCAGAGGTTTCAGTGAGCCAAGATTGCGCCACTACACTCCAGCCTGGGTGATAGAATGAGACTCCATCTCAAAAAACAAACAAACAACGACAAAAACAAACAAAAAAACAGTAAAAGATTTCTTTGCAATTATTTTAGTCATTAGCAAAAGTTCTTTGGTTCTCAGGTTGTTCACTCAAATTAATTTAAAGTCACTCAGAGGCTGGGCACAGTGGCTCATGCCTGTAATCCCAGTATTTTGGGAGGCAAAGGAGGGTGGATCACCTGAGGTCAGGAGTTCAAGACCAGCCTGGCCAACATGGTGAAACCCTGTCTCTATTAAAAATAAAAAAAATTAGGCAGGCGTGGTAGCGCATGCCTGTAGTCCCAGCTACTTGAGGGGCTGAGGCAGGAGAAACGCTTGAACCTGGGAGGTGGAGGTTGCAGTGAGCTGAAATCATGCCATTGCACTCCAGCCTGGGTGACAGAGTGAGACTCTGTCTCAAAAAAAAAAAAAAAAAAAGTCACTCAGTATCATTCCCTTCTATGTGGTTAAACCACCAGCTGGATACACCATTAGGTTCGTTTTCTTAATTTTGCTTTCAATTTTTAGCAATCTAATTTTTTAATGTTATAATTATGTAAAACATTTATGTGGTTCCAAAGATAAAACCACAAAATAGAATGTATTGAGAGATGTCTAGATTCCATCCCTCCATCCCTGACCACCCCCAAGTAATTATTTTAACTCATATTTTATTCCTTCATTTACATATGGTATATGTATAGACATACACATATTCTATATAAACAAGTTCCCCACTTGTTTCTTAAATAAAGTGGTAGACCACACGTATTGTCCTCCACTTGGCTGTTTCACTGAATATGTGGCAAAGATGGCTCTGCAACACTCGTGAAGCGCTTCCGCCGTCTGCTGTGCCTCCTGCAGGCGCACCTGTCCTGTTTGCACGGCCCTTGCTGGTGGGCATGTCATCTCCACTCGTGCTGTTTCCATTAGTGCCGCGATGGAGAGCCTTGTGCACATGTTATTTCCTAGTTTGTTGAATGTATCCTTGATAGCGGCCTAGAAGTGGGTGAATTCATATGCAATTTGCCAGATATTGCTAGATTCCCCTCCAGGGTGTTGTCCCGTCTGCATTCCCACCAGCAGTGCCCAAGAGCACCTGTTTCCCCACAGCCTCGCCAGCAGACCGAGTTCTCGAACTTTGGAGCTTTTGTCAGTTTGTTAGCCGGGAATTGGTATTTCAATGTAGTTTTAAGTTGCATTTCTCAGTTTAAAAATCCATTTTTATAAGAAAAATAAGTCAATGATGCCAAAAAAAAAAAAAAAAAAAGTCACAACATGCTAGCACTCTACTTAAATAAAAAATACATGAAAGCTGGCCAGGCACAGTGTCACATGCCTGTAATCCCAGCACTTTGGGAGGCCGGGGTGGGAGGATCACTTGAGCCCAGGAGTTCAAGACCAGCCTGGGCAACATGACCAAACCCTGTCTCTAAAAAAAAAAAAAGAAAAAGAAAATGAAGTCTGGATTATTGAAAGAATGCATCTGTACGAGGGGAGGAAACTGAGACGTGATAGTAAATGGCAGAGCCAGGACTCAGACCCACTCCATCTGGCTACAGAATCTGTGCTCCTCACCCCTGTACTCTCCCACCTCCCAGGGTGGGCACGCAGCAAGGGCAGGGAGTGGTGTATTATGTGTATGCAGCCGAGTCAGAGGCCGGCTTTCCTCTCTAAAGCATCATGTAGACTGTTTTAAAATGACTACAGTACCTTGGAGGGCATGTTGCGTATTTTTAGTTTTTAGCAAACATTTATTGGTTGTTCATTCATTTTGCCAATAAATATTTATTGAGCACCTACTCTAGGCCTGGGTACTATATTAGAAGCTGAGGATAAGTAGTGGATAAGTTGAAGATAGTGTCCGCTTCCAGGGCTGGCTTATTTTTCTGCACACTCAGCAGAATGTTTTCGATAATTTCTTACTTTCTTTACAGTTTTTTTGAGACAGGTTCTCACTCTTGCCCTGCAGTAGTGTGATCATGACTCACCACAGCCTCACCCTTCCGGACTCAAGCGATCCTCCTGCCTCAGCCTCCAGAGTAGATGGGACCATAGCCATGTGCCATCACACCCAGCTCATTTTTAAAAACATCTTTTTTTTGTAGAGACAGGATCTTGTCCTGTTTCCCAGGCTGGTCTCAAAATCTGGGACCCAAGTAATCCTCCCACCTTGGCCTCCCAAAGTGCTGGAATTACAGATGTGAGCCACCATGTCTGGCCTAATTTGTTAGTTCCATAGGAATTCAACAAATATTTAAATCCTCCTATATACAAGGCATTAACACGTAATATAGTTCCCTAAGTACCTTAATTTTGTTTATTTCCCCGACTCTATTACCATTTGTTCTCAAGAGAAAAACTCCGTATCATTCATGCATAGCTGTCCCTGTATAGAGTACTGGTACTCTGACAAAGTGTTTATTTACTCTTCTGTAGTTGATATAATATTCATTATATTTTTATTGATATATCTGGAAGCTGTATGACATAAAATAATAAATCCAGTGCTTCTGTCTTATCAAGGGTTTATCTATGATTAAAGAGCTTCCTGATCAATAGCCAGGCAAAAATCAAATTTTCCTGCTACTAGTGAAACTGAATGCACTGTATGGAATTTTACTAAACATGAAAAAGGTTAAATATCATTTTATATTTACTGTTCCAGAGTATGAAATACTATTATTTCCATCCATGGTTTCTGAGGGGCCTTTTTTCCCGTTCTAATTGTTGTTAAAGTATCACTACTGCCCCCGTGACCTGTGTAATAACATATTTGAACACACAGGACACATCCGGATTTCAGACCTCGGTTTGGCCATGGAGATCCCAGAAGGGCAGATGGCTCGAGGAAGAGTTGGAACAGTCGGCTACATGGGTTCGTGAGAGGCTTTCAGCATCCTTGTCCTTTCTCTCCGGGTGCCCGAGTGCCTCAGAACACAGAGAAAGCCACCCTGAGGGGACCAGGGCCTCGGTTTGGGCACTAGTAGATGCCACAGTGGTGTTTTGAATCTCTCACCTGTCAGAGTGTTGAGGCTGCTGGGGATCCTGTAGGCTGCCCTCACCTTCTTACAGATGAGGGGTGAGGCCCGAGAGGTTGTGAGTCCTGAGGTCACTCAGCAAAGTGAGGGCAGAATCGGGATGACACCGCAGGTCTCCTCACTCTGCCAATGTCCTCCCCTGTGCACGACAGCCTCTCAGAGCCTCAGGAAATCACCCCACTCTGGTTATTCCAAAGATCCAGGGGCAGTGCCAGCCAACCCCCAGGGTGGCCTCTGAGGGTCTCGCAGAGTCCTGCAGGAAGACCCCAAGGTCTTGTGGCTTTCTGCTCCTGCGTCTTCTGGGATTTTTCACTGACCTGGGATAGATGGCAAGACATGACACTTGGGGCGCTCTGGGCATGGCTTTGTGTGTCTGGAGGGAGCCCCTTCAGGAGGTGGAGCCTTCCCTGGACCACCATTTCCCTTGTGAATGTGACTCTGTGGCAATTCAGCTCATCCTGGATGAATCATACAAATCTTTAAAAATATTAGTTTTATTGGGATATAATTCATATGTCATAAAGTCCATCAGTTTGAAGTGTGTAATACAACAGATTTTAGCATTTTCACAGAGCCATGCAACCATGACCACCATCTAATTTCAGAACTTTTTTTTTTTTATTTTGATACAGAGTCTCACTCTGTCGCCTAGGCTAGAGTGCAGTGGCATGATCTGGGCTCACTGCAATGTCCACCTCCCAGGCACAAGCGATTCTCCTGCCTCAGCTTCCTGAGTATCTGGGACTACAGGTGCCTGCCGCCACACCCGGCTAATTTTTGTATTTTTAGTAGAGACGGGTTTTACCATGTTGTCTAGGCTGGTCTCGAACTCCTGACCTCAGGTGACCTGCCTGCCTCGACCTCCCAAAATGCTGGGATTATAGGTGTGAGCCACCGGGCACAGCCTTAACATAATGTTTTTAAGGTTTGTCCATGTTGTCACACACGTTGAATGTATACTGTATTATTGGAAAATATAAGAAAATTTAAAATCAAAATTTAACTTAATTTCCATTTCCTGTATTTGTTATGTAGCACCTGAAGTTGTCAATAATGAAAAGTATACGTTTAGTCCCGATTGGTGGGGACTTGGCTGTTTGATCTATGAAATGATTCAGGGACATTCTCCATTCAAAAAATACAAAGAAAAAGTCAAACGGGAGGAGATCGATCAAAGAATCAAGAATGATACTGAGGAGTATTCCGAGAAGTTTTCAGAGGATGCCAAATCTATCTGCAGGATGGTAGGTCAGGCTCTGTAGAGGCTGGGAAATGGCACTTCTCATTCTAGTTGTTTTCACTGGCAGCTATAACAACAGGTGTTGGTCTGTCATCTTCAGCAAACCCTGGCCACCCACCTCCCAGGCCCTGCCCCTGCCCCCGCCCCCACGGCCCAGCAGGGAGGACATGCGTGCTCAGGAGGCTCATGTCAACTGTCTCCTGGCCCAGCAGGCAGGACACGCGTGCTCAGGAGGCTCACGTCTGCCTGCCTCCTTCCCCATGCTTCTGCCACTGGGATTCCATCAGACAAAAAGGGCCAGCGAAAAAAGTTTCCAGACATGATCTGGAAATGACTTAATTGGGTTTCAATTAGAGCAAAACAGAGTAAAATTCGTGGTTTGATTTCTCAAACGATGCTATTGAAAGGGAAGAGTGGTACCAAGGCTATTAACTCAGCTTTCAGAAAACAGCCGAGCCTTGTTTCATTGACCAATTGTATATGAAGTTAGACATAAAACCAATCTTTCATGTAATTTGAGATGGTAAGGGTTTAGCCACCTACCAGTGACTGTCGTCCCAGAGACACTCTGACCTGACGGCCTGCTGTGTACCTGGCTCTGGGCCTGGTGCTAGACGGACAATTCCCTTAATTGTGCTAAGGGCCTCTGAGGCTGACAGTGGCACCTGCGAGTCACAGGAAGGAGACGAGCCCTAAGCAGTGGAGACCCGGCCCCTGGTCCCAGAATGAGCAAGGGGCTGTCAGGGTCCATCTGCCTCTGGGACCGGACTGTGTTACCACCCCTCACTGCCCAGACTCTCAATCAGTGAGGGAAACTCTGTTACTTATTTCAAACCAGTATTTTTTGAGCACATTTTTTTTTCATTTATTTTCATTCAACGAGGATTTATTGAGCATCTTGTACGCTCCAGACACTGTCCTAGGCATTGGGGAAAACAGCAGCAAGTAAAACAGAAGTCCCCGCCCTCCCAGCGAGAACTGACAGGAAACAGAACAAATGCATAGACATGTGGGCTGTGGGGAGGACCCGCACTCTGGAGGACAGGGAACTGCCTGGAGGGGCGGCAGGCTCTGGGGGAGAAAGGGAGTTTGCCTGCTGGGCAGAGCAGGCTGCTGGCAAGAGCGGGAGGGGGTTAGAGGGGGACAGGACAGAGAGCGGCAAGCCCAGGCCATGCAGAATCACCTGTCACCTGTCATTGTCATCATTGTCAAGCCTTAAGTGTTGCTTCCTCTGATGGCCATGAAGCCATTGCAGGGCTCTGTGAAGAGTGATGTGATGGGACCAGGCTTGCCGGCCGCTGGGAGAAAATGAATGGACAGGAAGGAGGAAGGCCATTGGGGGCTTTGCAGCTATTCAGGTGAGAGTAAAGGTGACGCAGACCTCAGTGGTGGCAGAGCAGGTGTGAGAAGTGATGGCAGATGACCACTGTCAGATTCAGGATGGATCCTGAAGGCAGGTGGTGGAGAAGACTTCAGGCTGACCCCAAAGTGGGCTGGAGGGAAGGGGGTACTCACTAGAGCCAAGTCCTTGCGATGGGGAGGACAGCAGCCCACGCACAGGGAGTGTGTGGACAGTTCCTCCGGTGACCGGAGAGGAGGCGGAGTCTGTGGCCGGCGCAGCACAGCTGGGGAGACGTGAGCGGGGCTGTGAGTAGTCTCTTAACGGAGCTGCTTTTGCTCAGATGGTCAGCCCAGTGGGGAGCAAAGGTGGGAGGCGGGTGTGAGGAGAGGGGAGGCTTGAAGCCCTGAAAAGCAGGGGTTTTTCCTCAACAGCATCAAGAGCCATGTGGACCTGAAGGGAGGGGAGTGGCCGTGGTTGTGTGCTGGGCTCCTGCCACAGCTGGATGGGTAGGCTCAGAGCCAGCAGGGAGCTGCACTCGCCCAGCTCTGGTTTGGTCCAGCAGCTAGAGAGAGGCCGGGGAGCTGGGCTGCATGCGGAGGAGTGACTAGAGACAGACCATGGGCTTGACGCTGGCTTCAGTGGACGAGGAAAGGGGTACAGGGAACAGCAGGTTCAACAGAGGATGGGCCAAGCGCAGTCCAAGTTGGGAGTCCAGGCCCCTCCAGGCCAGAGTTAGAAAGACTAGAGGGATGCTCAGAGAGGAAGCTGCTTGGAGTGGAGCTGACGGAGGGAGCTCTTGCTGGCCAAGAGTCTGGAGTGTGACCGGGAGAGAGTGGCTGGGGGTCCCTGCGGGGATGGAGGATAAGGTCACAGGACCAAGCAGCCAGGCATAGGCCCCTGTCTGGGTGTGGGCATTCCTAGCAGCCGTGCCTGGGTAACTGACGTGGGCTGGCAGTGGCTGGAGAGGAATTATTCTGATGTCCTTTTCATATGTTTCCATATATGAAGCCATGGGTGCTACAGGCTCGTCCCAGAGCCAGGGGTCACCCTGGAGTTCTCCCGGCTAGATCACTCTGCTTAGAGCTGACTATTAAATAATGGAGTCTTCTCACGACACTGACAGGGCTGCAAGAATGGATAAATATGTACTAGAAATGGAATCTGCCCTTAAGAGCTCACAGTTTAATGTTAGGCCTAAAACAAACAGAAATGACTCCAGTGAAAAAGCAGAATGGGCCGGGTGCGGTGGCTCACGCCTGTAATCCCAGCACTTTGGGAGGCCGAGGCAGGCGGATCACGAGGTCAGGAGATAAAGACCATCCTGGCTAACATGGTGAAACCCCGTCTCTACTAAAAATACAAAAAAAAACATTAGCCGGGCGTGGTGGTGGGCACCTGTAGTCCCAGCCACACGGGAGGCTGAGGCAGGAGAATGGCGTGAACCCGGGAGGCGGAGCTTGCAGTGAGCTGAGATCGCGCCACTGCACTCCAGCCTGGGCGACAGAGCGAGACTCTGTCCAAAAAAAAAAAAAAAAGAATGAGTTATATGGGTTAATGACGTCACATAGCAATTACTGGCAGCTGGACCTGAGCCCAGCTTTTGGACCAAGCCCCTCTCCTCTGCTCTGTGCTGCCTGGTCAGGCCATCTGTCTGAGTCCCTTCGGGCTGCTATGACAGAATCCCTTAGACTGAATAATTTATCGACAGCAGGAGTTTGTTTTCTCAGTCCGGAGGCTGGAAGTCCTAGACCAAGATGCCTGCAGATTGGGTGTTGGTGAGGACTGCTCTTTGCTTCAAAGATGGAGCCTTGGCTGGACGTGCTGGCTCATACCTGTCATCGTAGCACTTTGGGAGGCTGAGGTGGGAGGATCACTTGAGCCAAGGAGCTCGAGACCAGCCTGGTAACACAGTGAGACACCATCTATATTTAAAAGAAAAAAGAAAAAGAAAGAAAGATGGAGTCTTCTGACTGCACCCTCACAGGGCAGAGGACAAACCAGCTCCCTGGGGCCCCTTTTCTAATGGCACGAATCCCATTCAAGAGGGCAGAGCCCTCATGACCTCACCACCAACAAAAGGTCCCACCTGTCAATACTATTGCATTGGGGATTAAGTTTCAGCTTACAGATTTGTGGGGGACACACACATTCAGACCATCGTGGCCCTCAATGGGAGTGGAGTATGCTGGCAGCAAGCTCAAATCATGGGGCTGTGGAGTCCCTGAGATGCAGAAATGGTGTTTGCATTACAGTTAATTTTCAGATCTGTTTTATTTATGTATTTATTGTTGTTTCTTTGAGACGAATTCTCAAGAAACAGATCTGGCCCAGGTTGGAGTGCAGTGGTGCGACCTCAGCTCACTGCAACATCCGCCTCCCGGGTTCAAGGGATTCTCCTGCCTCAGCCTCTCGAGTTGCTGGGACTACAGGCACGTGCCACCACGCCTGGCTAATTTTTGTATTTTTAGTAGACTTGGGGTTTCACCATGTTGGCCAGGATGGTCTTGATCTCCTGACCTCATGATCCACCCGCCTTGGCCTCCCAAAGTGCTGGGATTACAGACGTGAGCCACCGCACCCAGCCTTCAGATCTCTTTTAAATCAACAAAGCATGCAAAGAACAAATGCACTGAGCAACTGTTACTGAGCGCCTGCTCTGGCTAGATGCTGGGGAATCACAGTGGGCAAGAGTCACACAGCCCCAGCTTCAGGAAGCTTTGAGTCTAGCAGGACAGCCTGGCAATAATGGTACATTCAAATGACTCATTCTCAGCATGAAATATTTGTCATCAAGGAGAGGTGGAGGATGCCCTCAGGCTGTAGCAAAAAAAGTTGGGGAGCCTAATTTAGTGCAGGGATGAGGGCTAGAAAGCTAAAACCTGAAGAATTGAGCAGGAGTCAGGGAGCCAAAGAGCTTTGTAGACACAGCCTTGGAGCAGGCACAGCCCAGCAAGGAGCTGAGAGGTGGGAGATAGAAGCACAGACCAGAATGCTTTCTGGTCTTTGGGACTTTGAGTTGGCCAGGGATCGGCATACTTTTCTGTAAGGCCAGATGGTAAATAGCGTTTAGACTTTGCAGGTCTCTATTATAGCTATTCAGCTCTGCCAATACAGTGCAAAAGGCTGGTGCCGATAAAGCCTTGTTTACAAAACCAGGCAGCTAGTGCCTGTGGTGGCTGGACTGTGGTTTCCCAAGCCTGGGTCTAGGTCACATTTCAGGGGTTCAGGTCTTTCATGTGTTGCTTCTGAGCACAGCCCTGCTTTTTCTGATTGATAAGAATTGTGGAGGAAGGCTTATTTGACTTTGTGATGATTGTAAACATGTATGTAAGGAATACTTTCTAAAGAGATACTTTCTGGTCATTTTAAGAATATACTAGAATACCAAAGTATTAAGAATATATTTTTAGAACTCGGTTTGTTCAATGTTTGCCTCATCTGAGATCCTTAGTGGTATTTCTGAAATTCACAACAGTTTCTGTTTCCTCTAAAAATCCCCAAATTTTTATGATTAATTTTTTAAGCTTAAAGAATAACATAGCCAACCCCTTATTTATTGATAGTCAAAGGCAAAACCTTAGCCCCTTTCCTCTGTGAAGCATCACATAATTTAATGAGTAAAGTCTGAGTTCCTGAGGTTTGGCTGATGCTTTGAAATTATTTGTTAGATGCACCTGGTTTCTGCCCTCCCGAGTCCTTTGGTTATTATTATGGAGGGGAGTTCTGAGTTTTCATTTTTATCCAGAGGCTTAAGTGGATTCTATTTCTGCCTCTTGCAGTTACTCACCAAGAATCCAAGCAAGCGGCTGGGCTGCAGGGGCGAGGGAGCGGCTGGGGTGAAGCAGCACCCCGTGTTCAAGAACATCAACTTCGGGAGGCTGGAGGCAAACATGTTGGAGCCCCCTTTCTGTCCTGATGTAAGTGCATTGCCAGGACGAGCAGGGCCCTGGGAACAGTGATCCACACTGCACGGGTTTTCTCTTTCTTTTTTTAAAAATAGCAATGGGGGATCTCACTGTGTTGCCCAGGCTGGTCTTGCACCCCTGGCCTCAAGTGGTCCTCCACCTTGGCCTCCCAGAGTGCTGAGATGATAGGCATGAGCCACTGTGTCTAGCTGCAACAGTTTTTTGTTTTTTTGTTTTGTATTACAACAGACACAGAATCACCAGGCACAGCCAGCATGTGGCTTTTGCTCATGGTGCCTATCCTACCTGGTGGTTCTTCTGTCACCCCAGTGTCCTTTGGCCACTCACTGGGCCCCTCACAGGCCTCAGCGGTGCTCTGGCTCCCTGCCTGGTGTCACTTTCAGCCTCAGTGCTGGTGGAGCCCCCTAAGTAGCTGAGACCACAGGCACACGACACTCAGCTCGTTTTTAATTTTTTCCTAGAGACGGGGGTCTCCCTATGTTGCCCAGGCTACTTTTGAACTCCTGGCCCCAACCGATCCCCCTGCCTTGACCTCCCAAAATGCTGGGATTACAGGCATGAGCCACCATGCCTGGCCACCCGTGTCCCCTTTCTGGTCTCAGGGCTGGCTTTGTCTCTCGTTCCTGTGTTTCCCACGGCCGTGAGCCGCCCCTGCTTCCTTTGTCTGGAACGCGTATCCCCACTCTGCTTCTCATGAGGTCCTGGGACTGTGGCCTGGCCTCATACTGAGGACCCTGAAGTGGTCACTGTAGCTCCTTGTGAGCATGCTGTTGGGACACCTTCCTCTGGACTGTCCCCTAGGGGCAGGGCCTGCCAGTGTCCTTCCACCTCTCCACCCCGAGGGGATGAAAGAGTGAAGAGCAGCTGCTCTAACAGCAGTGCTGACCGTCAGCGCGCCTTTGGAGCGTCACTGCTTTACTGTAGTGCACAAGTCCTGGGTGAAAAGTGTTCTCAGAACTGCGGGTGCCTCCGGCATGAGCAGATGAGGGCCCCACAGCTGCCGACTTCCGTGCTTTTTGTTCCTTTGCCCTGAAAGTGCAAACAACAGTACTGGCGGCAGGTGGAGACCTGGGTCTTGGCACTCCCTTCTGCCTGCCTGACCCTTTGCCTCTGAGGACAGCAGTGCTGGGATAGGAGCTGCAGGCCTGGGCTCCTGTCCCAGAGGAGGGACCTGCCGACCCAGGGAGCTGAGCCTCTTGCAGCCTTGGAGTCCACTCGATGGACCCGGAGGAGGGCGGGAAGTGGGAGCGGCGGCTGTTCCTCAGGTTTTCTCCAGGCGCTTTGCAGGGAGCGCACCTAGAGTTGGAGGCAGGTGCGAGAATTGTCACTAAGGGATCCCACTGCTGGTGGCCTCTATCCCTGCTTACACTTCTCTGGTTCTGTGCTGCATCTTCTAATATTTGCCCTGCATCCCTGGCCTTTGTTTGCAATCCATTTTCCACTACAGAAAAGAGAAGGGCATGGCCCTCAGAAGGGGTGTGTGTGTGTGTGTGTGTGTGTGTGTGTGTGTGTGAGAGAGAAAGAGAGAGAGAGGGAGAGCCAGAGCAGCTGACACAGTACCCACAAGATTGGTGACACTAAAAGCTGGTGAACCACCTCTTCAGAGGACACATTCTCTGATTTAGAAAATGCCTCAAGTGAGGGAGGGGCCTGGCAAAGAAATGGAGAGAGGAAGAATGGCGGTGTTTATGCGTCAGTTTGCTGGGCGTTTCGTTCCTGGGAACTGAGGGAGCTGAGAATTGCTGTAGTGACCTCAGAGGCTGCCTCTGTTCTTGCTGTACAGCCTCATGCCGTTTACTGTAAGGATGTCCTGGATATCGAGCAGTTCTCGGCAGTGAAAGGGATCTACCTGGACACCGCAGATGAAGACTTCTACGCTCAGTTTGCTACAGGGTGTGTCTCCATCCCCTGGCAGAATGAGGTACTGCCCTTCTAGCACAGCAGCTTTACGTTAGTTCCAGCAATGACCCAGGAAAAGGGTGTGTGTGTGTGTGTGTGTGTGTGTGTGTATTTGGGAGATAAAATTATACAAGACGGCTGGGCGTGGTGGCTCACGCCTGTAATCCTAGCACTTTGGGAGGCTGAAGTGGGCAGATCACAAGGTCAGGAGATCGAGACCAGCCTGTCCAACAAAGTGAAACCCCGACTCTACTAAAAACACAAAAATTAGCTGGGCATAGTGGCAGGCGCCTATAGTCCCAGCTGGTCGGGAGGCTGAGGCAGGAGAATCGCTTGAACCTGGGAGGCAGAGGTTGCAGTGAGCCGAGATTGCGCCACTGCACTCCACCTTGGGTGACAGAACGAGACTTCGTCTCAAAAAAAGAAAAAAAAAAAGATTGTATAAGACTTTTGACCACAGGACTAGACCATGGGCAAGCCAAGGACCATATCAGCAGTCCAGAAGCACGGTATGTCCCTGGTCCCAGTGACAGGAAGTGGACAGGAGGTAGCTATTTTGGGTCTGATGGGCGCTTGCCTGCCACCCCTGAGCCCCCCTCCCTAAGCAGGGCTGACTGGCAGCCAGGGTTCCCATGGTAGTTCCCCACTTTGGGGGGTACACTGAGAGACAAGGGGAGAGGAGACCATGTCACTTATCCAAGAAGAGGTCAGGAAGCAGGGAAGGAGGAACCCAGGAAAGGGGCCCCACAGTGGGTGCGGGAGCTCTGAGGTGCCCCACACGGGACTGGGTAGGAGCTGCTCCGCACGGGGCTGGGCAGGAGTTGCTGGCGCTGGGAGACACCCACTGACCTGGAAGCTTCTCTGAGACTTCTCTGTCCTGCTCTTCTGTGCATGCAGATGATCGAATCTGGGTGTTTCAAAGACATCAACAAAAGTGAAAGGGAGAAAGCTTTGCCGTTAAATCTAGACAAGAACATACATACCCCGGTTTCCAGACCAAACAAAGGCTTCTTCTATAGACTCTTCAGAAGAGGGGTAAAAACACTTAAAAACTAGTATATGTATGTGTATGTGAAAAGAAAAACATACTGACTACCAAGGTGAAAACATCACACTTTTTCTGTTTGCAATGGCTCCTACAAGCAGTTTTATACAGTTTGAGAGCCACGTGGTGCTAGGTAGAGGCCAGCCAGAACAATGAGAACATCCTCGCAATGAGGTTTGTTGCTGTTGTGTATTTGGGAGATAAAATTATATAAGACGGCTGGGCGCAGTGACTCACGCCGGTAATCCCAGCACTTTGGGAGGCTGAAGTGGGTGGATCATGAGGTCAGGAGTTGGAGACCAGCCTGGCCAACAAAGTGAAACCCCAACTCTACTAAAAATACAAAAATTAGCCAGGCATGGTGGCAGGCACCTGTAGTCCCAGTTAGTCAGGATGCTGAGGCAGAGAACCTGGGAGGTGGAGGTTGCAGTGAGCCGAGATTGCATTGTTCTGATCCAAAACAGGACTGCCTTCCAACGTTCACAAACAGGTTCCCGTGTCAATAACAAAATATTTTACACTGGGCTCAGAAATCGGCATCCTGTGGAACCTTCGTCAGGTGGCACCCACGCGTGCATCTCTCCCTGCTCTGGCTCTTAGACTCTCACCTCCTTTGCCCGCTGCATGGGGAAAGCGGATTCCTTTTTGAAAATGGCATCCTGGCTGGGCGTGGTGACTCACGCCTGTAATCCCAGCATTTTGGGAGGCCGAGGCAGGTGGATCACCTGAGGTCAGGAGTTTGAGACCAGCCTGGCCAACATGGCGAAACCCCATTCCTACTAAAAATACAAAAATTAGCCAGGCGTGGTGGCACACGCCTGTGGTCCCAGCTACTTGGGAGGCTGAGGCAGGAGAATCGCGTGAACCTAGGAGGTGGAGGGTGCAGTGAGCCGAGGTCGTGCCACTGTTCTCCATCCTGGGCAACAGCGCAAGACTCCATCTCAAAAAAAAAAAAAAAGAAAGAAAGAAAAATGGAATCCTTTGGAGAGACCTTTCGTAGTAGCATTAAATGTAGACAAGCCTTTTTTCCATGCAGCTCTCCTTGGATTTGTGGACCATCCTACTTTGCACCCTGTGTGTTCCCAGGGGGTTTATTCAGAGCTTGGCCACTAACATTCTAATCCATCTTTCTTTTTTTTTTTTTTTTTTTTGAGACGGAGTCTTGCTCAGTCACCCAGGCTGGAGTGCAGTGGCACGATCTCAGCTCACTGCAAGCTCCGCCTCCCGGGTTCCCGCCATTCTCCTGCCTCAGCCTCCCGAGTAGCTGGGACTACAGGCGCCCGCCACGTCGCCCGGCTAGTTTTTTGTATTTTTTAGTAGAGACGGGGTTTCACCGTGTTAGCCAGGATGGTCTCGATCTCCTGACCTCGTGATCCGCCCGTCTTGGCCTCCCAAAGTGCTGGGATTACAGGCTTGAGCCACCGCGCCCGGCCATCTTTCTTTCAGTATGAAAAATAGGCTGGGCGCGGTGGCTCACACCTGTAATCCCAGCACTTTGGGAGGCAGAGGAGGGTGGATCACCTCAGGTCAGGAGTTCAAGACTAATTTGGCCCACATGATGAAACCCCATCTCTACTAAAAATACAAAAATTAGCCAGGTGTGGTGGCAGGTTCCTGTAATCCCAGCTACTTGGGAATCTGAGGCAGGAGAATTGCTTGAACCCGGGAGGTGGAGGTTGTAGTGATCTGAAATTGTGCCATTGCACTCCAGCCTGGGCGACAGAGTGAGACTGTGTCTCAAAAAATAAAAAAATAGGCCGGGCGCGGTGGCTCAAGCCTGTAATCCCAGCACTTTGGGAGGCCGAGACGGGCGGATCACGAGGTCAGAAGATCGAGACCATCCTGATTAACACGGTGAAACCTCGTCTCTACTAAAAAAAAATACAAAAAACTAGCCGGGCGAGGTGGCGGGCGCCTGTAGTCCCAGCTACTCGGGAGGCTGAGGCAGGAGAATGGCGTAAACCCGGGAGGCGGAGCTTGCAGTGAGCTGAGATCGTGCCACTGCACTCCAGCCTGGGCGACAGAGCGAGACTCTGTCTCAAAAAAAAAAAAAAAAAATAAATAAATAAATAAATAAATAAAAAGAATTAGCACCCCCCCAAAAGTCTGTAAATGGTTGTCTACACTTAAGGAAAGTGAAACCTTCGCATCAGCCGTGTGACTGAGGCCAGCGCTGTGTGTCGCAGGGCTGCCTGACCATGGTCCCCAGTGAGAAGGAAGTGGAACCCAAGTGATGCTGAGCATCCCCCTGCAGACCGCAGAGCAGACCCTGGCGCCAGGAGGGAGCAGGTGTGGGCGTCTCCTCCCAACTGGAATTGTAATAAATACATCTAAATAAAACGTGCCTTGGGAGTGTACAGATCTTTCCACACTAATACCTGAGTTGTGTTTTCACTAAAGCTGGATTGAAGAAAAAGCCGCAAGTGTACCTCCTGAGGCCTCAGACACGCCCAGGTGTGGGCGCCTTGCGTGCTGGGGTGCGAGCTTTCCCTGCACCCAGGGAGAGGCCAGCCGGGACTTGGGAATGGATAGCAAGTCCACCAGCCCTGCACTGCCCTGTGCCACCCCCAGACTTGGTCTCAATACTCAGCCAGGGATGTGGTGGTCCAGGAAGACACGGGCGGCTGGGCCTCCTTTCTCCAGGGCCTGGGTGTCAGACAGCCGGAGCCCGTTGGCATTTCCTGCATCTTCTGATGGCTATCCCGTTGCCTTGTGCCCCTCATTGAGATTCCTGAGGTTTGTGTGTTTGTGGCCAGTTTTTATTTTCTCCAAGCGTATCTATCTGCCCTTGAAAGGGGCGGCTCCCATGACCCTGCAGTCAGGGCCTGGCGGCCAGGGCCCCAGCGTGCGCCTGGCATGCGGTGACAGCCTCCACCGTGGGAGTCCACGTCAGGGCCCCCGAGAGGCTGGTGCTGTGTCAGGCATGAGCCCTCCTGGGTTTTAGTGGCGCTTAGGAATCTGGGAGCTTCCCGTGGAGGTTAAGGGTGCTGAAACTGCGCAAGTTGATAACTCACAGCAGTGCCTGGTGACTCTCCTCTTCAGCTGGAGTGCTAACCCGCGGGGGAGACGTGGCAGCCGAGTGCTAACTGGGGGGGAGATGTGGCAGCCGAGTGCTAACTGGGGGGAGACGTGGCAGCCGAGTGCTAACTGGGGGGGAGACGTGGCAGCCGAGTGCTAACTGGGGGGGAGATGTGGCAGCCAGATTGCTAACTCGGGGGGGGGGACGTGGCAGCCGAGTGCTAACTGGGGGGAGACGTGGCAGCCGAGTGCTAACTGGGGGGGAGACGTGGCAGCCGAGTGCTAACTGGGGGGGAGATGTGGCAGCCAGATTGCTAACTCGGGAGGGGCGGGAGACGTGGCAGCCGAGTGCTAACTGGGGGGAGACGTGGCAGCCGAGTGCTAAATGGGGGGAGATGCGGCAGCCAGAGTGCTAACCCGGGGCGGGGCGAGGGGGAGACGTGGCAGCCGGAGCGCTAACCCGGGGGGGAGACGTGGCAGCCGGAGCGCCAACCCGGGGGGGAGACGTGGCAGCCGGAGCGCTAACCCGGGGGGGAAGACGTGGCAGCCGGAGCGCTAACCCGGGGGGGGGGAGACGTGGCAGCCGGAGCGCTAACCCGGGGGGGAAGACGTGGCAGCCGGAGCGCTAACCCGGGGGGGAGACATGGCAGCCGGAGCGCTAACCTGGGAGGGGGAGACGTGGCAGCCGGAGCGCTAACCTGGGGCAGGGGGAGACGTGGCTTTGTGTGCTTGGCGAACCCCCACGCCGGGGCGTAGCGGAAGCGTGTGGACCAGCACTGAAGCCCCGCGGAGGCACCCGTGCGTGTGCGTGGGGAGGGCATAAAGATTTTCTACGGGGTGACGTTGGAGCTGGGCGGGGAGCGAGCAGGAGGGACAGGGAAGGCTGAGGCCCCAGAGCTGGCTCTGCTGAGGGCCCTCGCTGAGCGGGTGATGGTGACGGCCTGGAAGCTGCGCCCGCCCGGAACTCGGCCTTTCTCCTGAACCGTGCGTAGGGGGATGGGCCGGCCCGGCTCTGGCTGGGGCTTCCGCAGAGCAGCGCAGCGTTGGACACGGTGAGGGCTGGTTCGGGGGAGCTGACGGGGACCCCAGCTGGGAGCCTTCACCTTCGCCCCTGTCCTTTCTCCACCGCCGTCATGGCTGCCTGGAGCCTGCAGCCGGGATCTTGGTGCTGCCTGCTGCGTGAGAAGCCAGGGGATAGGCCTCGGTGACTTTAAACCAAACAGCGACACCTCGGACAGCTGTGTGGAGGAGAGGAACCACAGTACCTGATGGACAGAGCGCTCCCTGGGCCGCTTTCACGTGAGCAGCAGGGGCGGCCACGCTTCCAGGGGTTTCACCTGCATCGTGGTGTCAGGAAAATCAGCTTCCGCACGTGCCCACCGCCGGCTCCAGCAGGGGCACTGAGGCCAGTCCTGGGAGGAAAACGCCAGCGAGGATGTCACCATGAGGTTGGGAGCCTTCTTTGTACCAGGGGAAGTTATCTTGAGGACTTGGGGGTCTTTATTCTTTGGGGGAATGGAAACAGCTTTGCTTTTCTTCTGATTGAGGCAAAACTCATTAAAGAGTGAGGCTTTTTGGAAGCGGGTCACCGCGGCTGGACTCTGGACCCCTCTCCTCTGTGCCTCACTGTCCTCAGCTGCAGAATGAAGATGGCAGGAGTTGATGCCCCCGGGATGCTGAGAGCAGGTTTCTGAGTCTGTAAAGCATGTAGCATGTAGCACAGTGTCGAATACATGGTCACCATTCAGTAACTATGCTAGTAATCATGGAAAAATAATACATGCTCATTGTAGAAAATACAGGAAAACCTGCAGGAAAAAAAATCACCGTTATTCCTCCCCCGCCCCCATTTCCACTCCGAGTCCTTTGGAGAGTTCTTCCATCAGTGTAGACAAAGCCCACAGCAGATTGATAGTGTAGACGACTCTGCTGGGGCTGGGGACCTGGCTTCCTTGCCAGCCGCAGGGCCTCTGTAAAGGCCTGCCTCAAGGGGGTGTCGAAGTTTAGGGACACCTGCCTGTCAGATGCATTTGAACCAGAGCAACTCCATCTTGAATGGGGGCTGGGTAAAATGAGGCTGAGGCCTGCTGGGCCACATTCCCAGGAGGCATTCTTAGTCACAGGATGAGATAGCAGGTTGGCACAAGATGCAGGTCCCAAAGAGCTTGCTGATAAAACAGACTGTTTGAAAGAAGCCGGGGCCAGGCGCAGTGGCTGGTGCCTGTAATCCCAGTACTTTTGGAGGCTGAGGCGGGTGGATCACTTGAGGCCAGGAGTTCGAGACCACCCTAGCCAAAATAGTGAACCCCGTCTCTAAATACAAATATTAGCCAGGTGTGGTGACGGACACCTGTGGTCCCAGCTACTCGGGAGGCTGAGGCAGGAGAACCTGGGAGGCGGAGGCTGCAGTGAGCTGAGACCTGGGCAACAGAGCAAGACATCGTCTCAAAAAAAAATAATAAAATAAAGAAGTAAATAAAGAAGCTGGGAAACCCACTAAAACCAAGATGGCATGAGAGTGACCTCTGGTCATCCTCACAGCTCATTATATGCTAATTATAATGCATTAACATGCTAAAAGACACTCCCACCAGCACCATGAGAGTTTACAGATGCAACTTTCAGATGTTGCCATCTGAAAGTTACCCTATATGTTCTAAAAAAGGGTGGAACCTTTAGTTCTGGGAATTGCCCCCCCCTTTCCCAGAAATCTCATGAATAATCCACCGCTTGTTTAGCATATAATCAAGAAATAACCATAAAAATGGGCAGCCAGCAACCCTCAGGGCTGCTCTGCCCATGGAGTAGCCATTCTTTATTCCTTTACTTTCCTAGTAAACTTGCTTTCCCTTTATGGATTTGCCTCGAATTCTTTCTTGAGCGAGATCCAAGTACCCTCTTTTGGGTGCTTGTCCAGTAGCATTCCCTCCATCTTGCCTGCACAGAGCACATGGCTGAGGAGGAAGCCAGATGGGGAAGGACCAGCACTGCAGGGGCCAGGGCCGAGGGCATCGATCATATCCTGGGCTGGTGGCTATGGAACTAATAAAGTCCTTTTTGTTTCTTTTTTTCTTTTTTTGGCTTACGTTAGTCTGAGTTAAATTTCCCCATGCCCAAGTGAAAGCTTTGACTGAGAGAAATAGCAAAACTAGGCCAGGATTTGTACACGGACGGGTTGGTAACTTGTTTGATTAACATGTTGAGCATCTCATTTTTCCTTTTCTGTTTATAAGCAAGCATATATGTATTGAAGAGAATTTTGAAATTAAGAATAGTGCTCGCTTTGGCAGCATATATACTAAAACTGGAATGATACAGAGAAGATTAGTATGGCCCCTGCACAAGGATGATGCACAAATTTGTGAAGTGTTCCATACAAAAATATGTTTAAAAAAAACCCACAAAATTTCTTTTTTTTTTTTTTTTTTTTGAGACGGAGTCTTGCTCTGTGCCCCAGGCTGGAGTGCAGTAGCGCGATCTCGGCTCACTGCAAGCTCCGCCCCCCTGGGTTCCTGCCATTCTCCTGCCTCAGCCTCCCGAGTAGCTGGGACTACAGGCGCCCGCCACCTCGCCCGGCTAATTTTCTTGTATTTTTAGTAGAGATGGGGTTTCACCGTGTTAGCCAGGATGGCCTCGATCTCCTGACCTCGTGATCCGCCCGTCTCGGCCTCCCAAAGTGCTGGGATTATAGGCTTGAGCCACCGCGCCCGGCCAACCCACAAAATTTCATCTTTAATATTAACTGCTGTGCAAAGGCAATCCCTATCAACATTTCGTTTGATATTTATATAACTAATACAGTAATTTATTTCTTTCCATGTCATTTGGCTGCGTAATTTTTAAATTTTTTTGAGAGTCTTGCTCTGTTGCCTAGGCTGGAGTGCAGTGGCATGATCTCAGCTCACTACAACCTGCATTCAAGTGATTCTCGTGCCTCAGCCTCCCGAGTAGCTGGGATTGCAGGCACCACCACCACACCGGCTAATTTTTTTTTTTTTTAGTAGAGATGGGGTTTCACCATGTTGACCAGGCTGGTCTCGAACTCCTGGCTTTAAGTAATCTGCCCATCTCAGCCTCCCAAAGGATTACAGGTGTGAGCCACTGTGCCTGGCCTGCTTAATCTTTCATTACTTATTTCAGTCATCCATGATATTGTGAAATTATATTGGGTTTTCATTCAGTCTTCTGGCATATATTTCCCTAAATCCTTGGAATCTTCCAAGTGATGAATGTCTTTTCTGTATGTTAATGAGGTGGCTGGTGGCTCCTAGACAGTTTCAGGATAGGAGGGGTCACCAGAAAGAAGAAGGCAGGGTTAGAAAGTTGGGACTCAGCCCTACCCTTGACCTCTGGGAAG